ACTTTGCTCTGAGCACTTTCTTTTCCTGTCAGGATAACTGCAAGTTTCCCGGCATGTGGCCCTCCGACACCCCACAGTGAAGCAAACACTTGGCTACAGCTTCTCACTGTCGCTGTTGTGAGCAAACACACCTGTGGCAGCAGTGCTGCAGCTGAGCTGGGAGCAGCACGTTCAGGCCCTGGGGTACACGATGCTCCAGATCCCCCAACACTGCCCTGTGAGCCAGGCTGGGGGCAGGAAAAGAGGGAAAATTTGGAGGCAAGAGTGAGGGAGGACAAGGCCTGTAAGAGGCCAGACATTTACCATCAGGAGACTGCGTGGAATCCTTTAGGTTGGAAAATGCAGTCCAAGCCAGCACTGGCAGGTCCACAGCTAAACCCATCTACACATCTGACTTCAGGGGAAGCTGAAGGATGCTCAGAAACCTTGCACTCAGCAACTCCAGTTTTCCCCACAAGGCCACGTTTTCAGGATTTTAGAATAACACACAGTAGTATTTTAATGCCTAAGAGAGAAAGAAATGCATGGCACTCAAATGCCTTGTGCACCTGCTGTGCTGAGGCAAAGATCTCCAACACTTGACTGTTGGTCAAGTCTCTCCTGCTTCTCTCCTTTTAAAGCCACAGAGAGATTTTAGGTTTCCTTGGCTCTGCATGATTTGGATAATTTCCTTCTCAAGTGGCAGAAACTACCTTTTTAGCTCTAGTAAGACACCAGCATTTCTTCTGCAGCTTTAACTAAGTGTGCAGAAAAGGGGTGCAGATCCCCAGCTTCTGAAGGCTCTGCAGTTTTCATTAATTTTTGAGGGATTAAAGATCAAGAGTTACCTCTGTGAAGAATTACCATCTACAACTCCTTTTTGCCCGGGGGCTGACCGGGAGGTCCTCCACTTCATTTACTTGAATAAATAGTTGATAAGAATAAAAGAGGAAAGGCTGGATGCCACAAAGCATCAGCAGTGAAATGCATCAGATCTCCCAGGTCATTTGCAACATGCCCTCATGGAGCAGTGACTCAGAAGGTGAGCATTCCTCCTGAGCACTGGAGAGGCTGCAAGGAGCAGGACCTGAAATCTGGGAGCACAGGCAGCGCTTCACTCCCCTGCCTGTCAAATGAGTCACTGAAATTTCAACATTTAAATAACTGCCTGCATCTCCCAGGCAGCAGCAGCACACGACAAGCACAGCACTGTCATTTCCACGTTACAAAAGGTGCAGGTGTCTCCACTCACACTCACCTGACAGAGCTCTGCAGCTGAGTTTGGATTAGCAAATAATCCAAACAGAAACCTCCAAGAAAAGCAGGACACGCAGGCCACAGCAGGAAGCTCGAGCTGCCCTTGCTGCCCCATGTGAAGGAGTAGGACACTGCTGTGTCACTTCCCTTGGGAAGGGAAGGCAGAGCCACAGCAGGCCCAGGGACAGGCACTCCTTATGTAACAGGGATAAAGGCTGCCGTGCCTGGGAAAGCGCAGGGTTGGGAGCCAGGATTCATGTTTGCCAAACAACTTTCCAAACATATCCACTCTGGCTGTCAACACCCTCCCTGCTCCTGACAGCCCTGTTTGTGACAGGTGTGACGGCTGCATCTACAGCCACCTTTGCTTTTCACAAGCCCTGGCTTCGCTCCAAGGGCAAAGGCTTCCTCTTCTGGCTCAGTCCAGGGAATTCAATCCATCTGGCTGCCTGGTCTTGGACAGACCTCCCAGGACACCACGTTCAGAAGGCTCTGATCCTCATCACGATCACGTGAAACGTTTTGCCTTGAAAGTAACAAAAGGAGGCTGGAGAGAGCTGAGGAACCAGCTGGTGTGTTGCTCCAGGAAAGTGCCCAGTGACCATTTCCACTCCAGTGTTGCTGCCCTGACCATACAAGGAGCCAATTTGCAATGTTGGCAGCGCAGTTTGCCACAGACAGCTCCAGTGTTCCAGGCTCTGCAGTGGGTACCTAATGACTTATACACCACTGACACTTCCCAAGTGTCAGGCCTGGCTCTGAGTTGATCTGGAGTGGGAAAGTGCCTGACCTCTAAGAGCCAATTTTGCTGTTTAGTCTTCTTTCCAAACAATGCTGCTAAGACTGATCACTTCACACCACCAAGCAGATGTTTCCCTATCTTCCATTCCATTTGCCACTGTGTGACAAGAGCAGGCAGTGGATGGGAAGGCAGAATGCTGGCAGTTATCAGAAGTGCTTTGCAGTCAAGCAGAATTCAGATGTGCAGAGTCCAGAAACTGCAGAGGATATAGTGACCCACTCTACAGCTCAGGAGCCCAGACAATTCCTGTTTTTCTCAGCCAGAAACCTCAAAAAGCACTGACAATAAACACTGGGATGGTGCTTTCAGCAGAGCAGAACTACAGCCAGCTGCAGTTGACTGGCTGGATGCAAAAGCTGGAAGTATTAGTAGATTAACAGATAGAAAACAGCTTATTAAAACTTAGAGGCACTTCATTTTCTAGATTTAAGCAGCATTTTAAAAAGTGTATCTTAATACAAAACCTTCGAAATGCACCTTGGAATGAACCATTCACAGTCAGTGAAGCATCACAGACATGCAGAAAGAAGAGTCCTTGGGGCTCTCAGATTCCCCCCTCCTTGCTTCTTTCATCACATTCCAAACATTAATAACATCAGCTGAAGTCAGCTCACACCCTCTGCAGTGCTGCTTGAATCGACCTGGCAGTGTCTTTTGTCACAGGGGACAGGTGAGTCACTGCAAAAGGTGGACACGAGGCACACAGGCAGTGGGACTGCACTGCCCCCTGCACTGGAGACTCAGCAGATGCAGAGATTTTAAAAATATATATATTTTCTAATTGTGTAATGTTTAAAAACTTGTTCTAGTTTCCTCTTGTCCTCTGTTAAGAGTTAAAGAAAGTAGAGCCCCATAGCTGAGCTCCTCTCTCCTGATAGGAAACCTGAGCATGGAGAGCAGGATGAATCACTGCTACTGGCACCAGCAAGTGTCACACAATTTTTCAGGGCACTTCTCCCCTCCTAAAAAAGTCTTGTACCAGCTTGTCAAACGTCCATGAGGAATTCTGCTTTAGGACGTTTAAGGGAGTGAGTAAATACTGCTCTGCAAATCCAGCTGTAAAGTGCTCCTTGGAAACAGGTGCTTGGCTAACAGCAGTGGCTGCTCCTGCTGCTCCCAGTTCTTCCCCACTCAGCTTTTCCTTCCCTTTTTCCTCATCCCTGTGACAAGTGCAACCTTCTTTTGAACAGAGAGCTGGCTCACAGTGGTGCTGCTGAGGAATCTCAGCACCTGTAAATGCTTCATGTTTCTCAGTGTATTTCTCTGGGGACTCAAAAACAACCCCTTGGGGTGCAGAATGCCGTGCAGCTCTTTTCCAGAGACACGTGGGGTCCTGCCCCCTCCTTTGGCTTTGCTGCTGCACAGACTCTGGCAAAGGCTTTGGGACTTGGAAGTCAGGAAGTACCTGGGGGGCAGAGCTCAGGTATTCCTGAAAGTAAACCTGGCACATGCTGCCCTTCACGATGGGAATGATCGAGCAAGGTTTCAGCCACTTCACAAACTCGCACAGCTCCGAAAAGGACGAGTGATCCGAGTATGGGATGGGGTGGATCTTGGGGTGGGTGACTTTCACAGGCCTGCCCGTGGGGAGGATGGCAATGGTGGGGTGCAGCGTGTTCCAGGTGACCAGGGTATCCCAGCGGATCTCGGCGACATCCACGGCGCGGATCCACCCGGCCCCCTCCTCGGCGGTGAACACATCCGGCAGCTCCAGCAGCCGCATCTGCTCCAGGCGCCAGGGACTCACCACCACCCAGGTGCTGAACTCCACGGCCAGGTCCACCAGCAGCGCCTCCTTGCCCAGGGTGTACACACCTGCCAGGGGAGCCAGGTGTGGGACAGGGTGGAGAGGAACAGGAGCCCTGCCCGGGGGTGCCGCCAGCCTATGACTGCCAAACCACCTCCAGAGGTGGTAAGCAGGTGGCTCCAGTTAATGTGAGTTACTTAAATCTTTAAAGCTGGCGGGATGAGGGGCTGGCACTCACCGATGACGACGTGGTGGTGCGGGTGGGCGCGGATGAGGCGGGCGGCCTGGCGCGTGGCCAGCTGGCGCGAGGGCAGCGCCCGCTGTGGGTGGCAGTGCGTGTTGTCCAGGTACAGCCGGTCGATGCGGCGGCCCCTCAGCAGCGGCTCCCCCTGCATGGAGCTCGTGTAGCGGAAATCTCCTGCAAGGGACAAGGTTGTCAGCATTTGCCCAGAGAGGGTGTGGAGTCTCCCTCAGTAGAGATATCTCAGAGCTGTCTGGTCACAGTTCTGCGCCACGTGGTGTGGGACAACCAGATGACCCACTGTGGTCCCTTCCATCCTGGGATTCTGTGACGGTGGGACCCTGCCCTGTACCTGTGTAGAGGATGGTGCCAAAGGTGCCCTCGAAGAGGAACATGACAGAGCCGGGGCAGTGGTTGGAGTCGAGCAGCGTCACTGTCACCTCGTCCAGCACGTGGCTCTGCCCCACCTCCAGCGGCCGGATCCAGCATGTTGGCACCTACAGGGACCAGGTGGAGAGGGCAGGGCAGGGGATGAGGGTTGGGCAGGGCAGGGCAGGACAGGTGGAGAAATAGGGGTACCTGGGTGATGAGGGCTGGGTGGGACAGGTGGGCGATGGAAGTGCCCAGGTGAGTAGGGTGGGGCCAGACAGGTGGAGAGGTGGGGACGCCCAGGTGTTGAAGGCAGGGCGGGGCAGGTGGGGCGATGGGGGTGCCCAGGTGATGAGGGTCAGGCCAGGCCATACCTACCCGTAGGCGGCTGTGCAGGAGGCGGGCGGTGATCGGGGAGCAGTACAGCGGGCGGCTCCAGGTGCTGGACAGCCCCACCGTGTGGTCCGCGTGCATGTGGGACAGGAAAAAGAGGCGGGCGCCGGCCGCCCTGCGCAGGCTCCAGAAGTCCACGGCGATGGGGGTCCCGGCCAGCACCGTCCCGCTCATGGCGGGCGGGACCCCGCGCCCCCTCACAGCGAATTTGGCGGGAAGCGCCGCGCATGCGCGCGAGGCGCGGGGGGGCCGGGCCGGGCCGAGCGTCATGGGCGGGGTCACGTGGGCAGGGGTCACGTGGGCGGGGCCGGGGACCAGAACCGGGACCGGGATTGGGATTGGGATCGGGACCTAGGACTGAGACTGGGACCGGGACCTGGGAACAGGACTAGGACTGGGATTGGGACCGGGACCGGGACCTGGGACTGAGACTAGGACTGGCATCGGGACCGGCACCTGGACCAGGATCCGGACCTGGCACTGGGATCGGGACCGGGATGGGTTCCGGGACCTGGGCGTGCGACTAGGACTGGGACCAGGACCTGGGCCTGGGACTAGGACTGGAATTGGGACCGGGACTAGGACCTGGGACTGAGACTGCGATCGGGACCGGGACTTGGGAGTGGGTCTGCGACCAGGACTAGGATCGGGACCTGTAAGTGGGACTAGGACTGGGACTGGGATCGGACCCGGGACCTAGGCCCGGGACCATACCGGGGCTGGCCGTAGCCCGGGGCCGGGCCGTGCCGGGGCCATGCCGTACCTGGGCGGCGAGGAGGCGCTGCGGGAGCTCCGCCGGGCCCTGTCCAACCCGCACGTGCAGGCGGACCCGGTGCGGTACCGCGCCGCCGTCCTGCGGGTCATCCGGTACGGCGGGGGCTGGGGGGACCCGCACCCGGGGCACCCGCACCCGGCCCGGCCCGACCCGCGTGTCCCCGCAGGCTGATGGCGCAGGGCGCCGACGTGTCGGGGGTGTTCCCGGAGATGGTGAAGGCGGGCGCGGTGCCGGACGTGGTGCAGAAGAAGCTCGTGTCGCTGTACGTGCGGGCACAGGCCCCGCGGCAGCCGCAGCTGGCGCTGCTCGCCGTCAACTCCCTGCGCAAGGACTGCGCCCACCCGAGCCCGGCCGTGCGGGGGCTCGCCCTGCGAACCATGTGCGGCCTCAGGTGCGGCGGGGCGAGCACGGGGTGGTGGTCCTGGGGCTGGGATGGTCATGGGACTGAGGGTGGTGGTCCTGGGGCTGGGATGGTCATGGGACTGAGGGGGGTGGTCCTGAGGCTGGGATGGTCATGGGACTGGGGGGGGGGGTC